CTTTACTTAAACCTTCATATGAGGGAGACCCTGATATACAATGTAGCTGAGCCAACACAGAAATCAGGGGTTTAAAAACATATCAAATCTTAAAAAAAGTAATAATAATAATCATAATAGTAAATTTAACAGTAAAAAAAACAGTAATAGTAAAAAATTAATTAAATAAGCCATTAAAAATGCAACAGTATGATTAGGGATCAAATAGGGTAAAATAATAATTTATTAATGAAATAAATAAAGGAATAGAAGATGTAAAACTAAATGACCAACTTTTCAAAATACAAAATTCCTGTAACTTTTCTCTTTATTTGTATTTATTATTGATTAATCCGTTTCAGGATGTTTATCTCGGCTGTGTGTTGTGTTTTTCAGGATTCAGCGTCTGATCCAGACACCTCTGAGCAGGTACACTCACTGCTATCACTGACCCTTTACTGACCACAGCAGAACACTGACCAGTCAAGAAGCACTGAGGTTAAAAACATGCAGTTTCAGCAGCCAATCAGCAGCCTAGATTCCTGAAGGAGCGTGTTTATTGGCTCACAGATGCCAGTAACCCTGCCTGCTTATTGAAGTTTGGTGCTGAGTGATATGAAGTGTGTCTATAGTGTTGATTTAACTCGGTCGCTGCTGTTAAAGTATTAATATCCATACGCAGATGGCGTACCCATATGGCGCAGCACCACTGACTGACTGTTCAGCTGTTTTGTTCCCTTTTCTTACTGTTTTAATGCTTTATTGATTCTCCCTTTTACTTTAATTACAAATATTGTTCAACTTTAAGTTCTTTTTCTGCCATAAATTTTTATTCCTGAATGACATCCTGATCCCTCTCTTCTCTCCATCCTCAGACGTCTGAATCTCAGAATGTGACCTCGGAGGACACGGTAAGTTAACGGCTCTGAACCTCCACTGCCTTCAAACAAGGACTTATAACTTACTTAAAGGGGAAATCCCACCGTAAATCAGTGTGTGAAATGTAATCAGAGAGATTCAGGGTGGTTTGGTGTGAAATGGTTCAGATGTCTAATTTGCCTCACAGCGCCCTGCATGTATCCCTCCACCATGAATGGAATTTAAGTTCTCTAAACTATCATAAAACAGTGTCTCAGTCATCAGGCAGTGAATTCATAACCATTTCATGTAGGAACTTTCTGTGAGGAGCTTTTAGAGGTGGACGTCTGGTTCCTATCACCACCACTGTGAGCAGTTCTGACTCGGTAAGTTTATCTAGAACAGAGCGTTTCACACCAAACCACTCTGAACCTCTCTGAACCTCTCTGAACGACTCTGAACCACTCTGAACTACTCCGAACCACTCTGAACCTCTCTAAACCTCTCTGAACGACTCTGAACGACTCTGAACCACTCTGAACGACTCTGAACCACTCTGAATGACTCTGAACCACTCTGGATGACTCTGAACCGCTCTGAATGACTCTGAACCACTCTGAACCACTCTGAACGACTCTGAACCACTCTGGATGACTCTGAACCACCCTGAACGACTCTGAACCACCCTGAACGACTCTGAACCACTCTGAATGACTCTGAACCACTCTGAACCGCTCTGAACCACTCTGAATGACTCTGAACCACTCTAAATGACTCTGAACCACTCTAAATGACTCTGAACCGCTCTGAATGACTCTGAACCACTCTGAATGACTCTGTTATTATGTTAATGAGTGAAATATGTAGAAATGTTGAAATTCCTCTTTAAATTCTTAGTTCTTTTTAAAACAGTAGGTTACTCTAATGTGATAAACCTGTGTACCTTTTTAAATGTTCAGTGTTTTGTGTGTTTTGGGCTTCGGCCCACTGCCAGCACTGCACTTTGGCCCCAAAGTTTTGGCACCCCTGCGCTAACCCATCTCCGCTTTGTTTCAGACATCTGAGGAGACCCCCAGTCCGCTGCACGTTCAGGTAAAGACCGCTCATACAGAGAGCTCAGGTGTTTTACCTGTGTGTGTTCTAAAATTACGTTTTAATTCACCTGAGTGTGTGTGTGTGTGTGTGTATTGTATGTGTGTGTGTGCGTGTGTGTGTGTGTGTGTGTGTGTGTGTATTGTATGTGTGTGTGTGTGTTTAGCTGGCACAGCAGACTGGTCTGGATGGAGATTTGGGGGATGACAGTCAGGGCAGTGAGGAGAGCGTTCGCCGGGTAAGATTCTGTCTCACAAGGAGAAAACTGGTTTGCAGCCAAGTTTTTCTGTTTTATTTACGCTTTAGAATAATTTATAATAAAGTCTACACAGTAAGAAAGAAAACATTTTTATTGTTGACAAAATCTGCTTTCAATAGGAAAACAAATCAAACCAGGTTACATAATCTCGCTAAAATGATTGCAGTGTGTAGGAAACGGTGCTGTATCTGCCACGAAACCCAGCAGCAGAGGATGTTTGATCATCCTAGACAGTGAAGACTCGTCTGTAATGAAAGGCTGATCATGTGAAGACGTGTTGAACCTGTTACTCTAGCACAGTGCAGTGCAGCTAATAACCAGACTGACTCTGACTTAGACTCGCACCCTGAAGACTCACACCCTAAAGACTCGAGACTCTGACTTAGACTCGCACCCTAAAGACTCACACCCTAAAGACTTGAGACTCTGACTTAGACTAGCACCCTAAAGACTCACACCCTAAAGACTCACACCCTAAAGACTCGAGACTCTGACTTAGACTCGCACCCTAAAGACTCACACCCTAAAGACTCGAGACTCTGACTTAGACTCGCACCCTAAAGACTCACACCCTAAAGACTCGAGACTCTGACTTAGACTAGCACCCTAAAGACTCACACCCTAAAGACTCACACCCTAAAGACTCGAGACTCTGACTTAGACTAGCACCCTAAAGACTCACACCCTAAAGACTCGAGACTCTGACTTAGACTAGCACCCTAAAGACTCACACCCTAAAGACTCACACCCTAAAGACTCGAGACTCTGACTTAGACTCGCACCCTAAAGACTCACACCCTAAAGACTCGAGACTCTAACTTAGACTCGCACCCTAAAGACTCACACCCTAAAGACTCGAGACTCTGACTTAGACTCACACCCTAAAGACTCACACCCTAAAGACTCGAGACTCTGACTTAGACTAGCACCCTAAAGACTCACACCCTAAAGACTCGAGACTCTGACTTAGACTAGCACCCTAAAGACTCACACCCTAAAGACTCACACCCTAAAGACTCGAGACTCTGACTTAGACTAGCACCCTAAAGACTCACACCCTAAAGACTCACACCCTAAAGACTCGAGACTCTGACTTAGACTCGCACCCTAAAGACTCACACCCTAAAGACTCACACCCTAAAGACTCGAGACTCTGACTTAGACTCACACCCTAAAGACTCGAGACTCTGACTTAGACTCACACCCTAAAGACTCGAGACTTTGACTTAGACTCACACCCTAAAGACTTGAGACTCTGACTTAGACTAGCACCCTAAAGACTCGAGACTTTGACTTAGACTCACACCCTAAAGACTCGAGACTTTGACTTAGACTCACACCCTAAAGACTCGAGACTCTGACTTAGACTCACACCCTAAAGACTCACACCCTAAAGACTCACACCCTAAAGACTCGAGACTTTGACTTAGACTCACACCCTAAAGACTCGAGGCTTTGACTTAGACTCGCACCCTAAAGACTCACACCCTAAAGACTCGAGACTCTGACTTAGACTAGCACCCTAAAGACTCGAGACTCTGACTTAGACTCGCACCCTAAAGACTCAAGACTTTGACTTAGACTCACACCCTAAAGACTCGAGACTCTAACTTAGACTCACACCCTAAAGACTCGAGACTTTGACTTAGACTCACACCCTAAAGACTCGACTCTGACTTAGACTCACACCCTAAAGACTCGAGACTCTGACTTAGACTCACACCCTAAAGACTTGAGACTTCGACTCAAACTCAGACACAGTTAAACACAGTTAAAGTTCCCTCACCAAAGGAAAGCATTAAATCTTCGTTTCCTCTGATAAGGAGGATCTTATCATTAAGCGTTTGTCTAAAGGAAGCTGGTGTTTTCGCCCAGCAGGCTGATGTTTGTGCTGTTTCTCCTCCTCAGAGTTGGCTTCGCGCTTTCAGACGCAACTTTCATCAGCAGGTTTATGGTGGAATCGTCCTGGAAGGTGTGGCTACGTCCCGACCTTCCACTGGAGTTGCTACAGGTGTAACCGTGGGCAACAGACCAACAGTAGCACCCACGCTGAGCGCTCCAGCTCCAACGACGCCGGCTACGGAGACGGACAGCGTGGTCAGCGAGAGCATCGAGAGCAAAGAGGAGGCGGAGCTTCAGGAATGGCGCGAGTGCAGTGAGACGACGGATAACGGTGACTGTATACCGCACGGAGCCGTTAACGCCGACGGCAAGATCGAAAATGATCTACACCATGGGGCGCTACGATTCGACGAGGACCATGGTCACATGACCATCTGACCAGTTCAGAAGATCAAGACATCCTCCTTAATACTACACTACCCACAAACCCCTCAAAATACCTTTAACACTGCACTACCCACAAACCCCTCAAAATACCTTTAACACTACACTACCCAGAAACCCCTCAAAATACCTTTAACACTACACTACCCACAAACCCCTCAAAATACCTTTAACACTGCACTACCCACAAACCCCTCAAAATACCTTTAACACTACACTACCCAGAAACCCCTCAAAATACCTTTAACACTACACTACCCAGAAACCCCTCAAAATACCCTTAACACTACACTACCCAGAAACCCCTCAAAATACCTTTAACACTACACTACCCAGAAACCCCTCAAAATACCCTTAACACTACACTACCCAGAAACCCCTCAAAATTCCTTTAACACTACACTACCCAGAAACCCCTCAAAATACCTTTAACACTACACTACCCACAAACCCCTCACTAACTTTAACACTACACTACCCACAAACCCCTCACTAACTTTAACACTACACTACCCACAAACCCCTCACTAACTTTAACACTACATTACCCACAAATCTCTCACTGTAATTTTAAAGGGGAACTCCTTTGATTTTTTTAAATTGTCTGCATAATTAAACAGTTGAGATGTAAACAGAGTCATTCAGAACTACTTCTAGATAAACTTGCCGAGTCAGAACTGTTCACAGTGGTGGTGATAGGAACCAGACGTCCACCTCTAAAAGCTCCCTCACAGAAAGTTCCTACATGAAATGGTTATGAATTCACTGCCTGATGACTGAGACACTGTTTTATGATAGTTTAGAGAACTTAAACTCCATTCATGGTGGAGGGATACATGCAGGGCGCTGTGAGGCAAAATAGTCCCCAAAGAAAACTTATTATTTCAGATTTTCCACTATTTTCATCATCAACATTCATATAAACTCAGAAGACTCGTGTAGGTTCACTGGTGGTTCTGGATAGTAAATAAAATGTCTATATCTGTGTTGTAGTCATGGCGACCCCTGGTTCCTATCACCACCACTGTAAAGACATCTGAACCATTTCACACCAAACCACTCTGAATCACTCTGATTACACCTCACACACTGAGTTATGGAGGAGTTTTGGAAAATCGGTGGTGTTCCCTTTTAACACATTCACTACCTGCGACACCGTCACGTCTTCTTGATTACATTAATGAAAGTATCAGATGATCTAACCTTTGAGTGAGTGATTGTGGAGAGAACAGAAAGCCAGAGCACATTAGCAGAATGTAGCGCCCCATTTCAGTGGCTTTAACTCGCCCTCATCCTCTGCAGCCCAGCACTCGGATGTGCGTCACACCGGCGTGTCCACGGCAGCAGAAGGGAGGGGACAGTGAGGAGTGGACAGCTCAAACAGAGCGAACTTAGCATTCCGCTAATTTTGCCTCGGCGTGCTAATCATCTAGCCGTGCAAACCTTTTAATGCAGAGCACATTTTTGAGAACTTTGAAGAAAATATATTTAAAATTATGAATAATTGCTTTGCCTGACTATAAACTTTGGCCTAGTACCTTTATTGCTGCTGTTGTTAGCCATGTGGCCTTTAGCATGCCTTGTATAGCATCAAGTAAACAGATGCGACCTAAAGTGCAGCAAATCCAACATCATTAATGTGGAAAAATAAGCATTTTAAATAGTTTACTGCTTTGGCTTTTATACAAAACCCATTTTTTGAGTTTGAAGAGGAAATTGTGTCAGATGGCAGTGATTTCTAGGCAAGTTCTGCTGCTGAGGTCGACACTTCTGTTCTCTCGGCCCTCCGAGGGCTCAACTCGAGCTAACAGAGTAATGGAATGGCCTTTGAGCGCGTCGCTGTGGATCCCCTCAAGGGGAAACGAGAGGCCAAGTGGACGAGGGGCAGTTAAACGCAGTACTGAAATGGCCAGTATTTCATTTGTAATTCACTGTTACTCACTAATTATACACTGTGAAGTCATTATTATCATTTTATACAGTATTTATAACCCAAACACTGTTTAAAACATGTTTAATGTCTTTACTAACCCTTTATTTTATAGTACAGATAATCAATCATATCTAATGTGCACTTTATATGAATGCCACAGACTTAAGTGTGACTGTACTCATATTAACCTTTCACTAACGTCAACTAGTTTATAACTATTTTCAAAAACAGTTGTAAAGCAGCTAAACTATCACACATATTAAAGGGCCCATATTGTGAATTTTCACCACTTTTGGTAAATAAAAATGTGATATGGCACATAAACACTGATTACAGGATATGGAAACTAAGCTGAGAACAGCCCATTTTCAACTCTTTGTTTTTGTGATGTCACAACCAGCATATTTACCTATACCTGCCTATTCAGCCTGCAGCAGTTTAGCTCCGCCTACTTCCACTGAAGTAATAAGGAGTGTTTCAGCCCAGACTGCTTTTTGAATGAGACACAATACAGCACAGCCAATCAGAACAGAGCTCATTTACATATACAGTCATATGCACAAGTTTAGGAGGTTAAATTCCAAGTGAAAATAAGTCAACAGAGAGCCAGTCCTGAACACTTTACAGCACAATTACTTTCACAATTACACAATTACTGTTTAACTGCTGAGGTTAACATGAGGTGGGGGGTGGGGGGGGGGCATACAGAGCAAAAGTTCTGGCACATTTTATATTTGGTTTTACTTGAAGGGAGTCTATATGACACATTCATAACATCTTATAAATGAACATTCGTAAAGTATACATGCTTTACATGATATTAATATGGACTACCATGTAATTTTACTGACAGACCTTTTTCAAAATTAAAGTCCCCATTTTTTATTTTGAAAATCTGTAATTAACACAGGTTAATTGACGCTGAGGCTAAATGTTGAACTGTGATCCCAAAAATTAATCAGTTCTGTTTTGTCTTTATGTCAAAAGTGATGGAAGTTAACCCCACTGAAATGCATGTTATACATATAGTATTGTACATATATTATTCTATAAACAATAATCAAAAAGAAGTTGAAAGCATAGGCAACACATGCCTGAGTGTCAGAGCACTTAATGACCAAAGGGATAAAGCGAGGTCATTTTTATTTCAGCTGTCCAGGAATGAGGCTTTTTACATATACTTAAAAAAAAAGACTTTTATTTTGGAAAAAGGCATCAGTAAAATGACATAGTAGCCCATATTAATACCATGTAAAACATGTACACTGTATGATGTGGATTTAAACCTTCATGAAGTGTTTATGTAAGATGGAACACTGTTTAATTAAAGTGTTTTATATTTATATTTCACATTTAATCTATAATAAACAGAAATTATGCACTAAAATGTGCAAAAAGGCGCCATGTTTAAGTGCGTCTCTGTAGAGGATGTGTAACATAAATCAACAGAACAGGTCATTTGACTGGGGGGTGTTTTTTTGCATGACTGTATTGGTCTTAAAGGCACAGTAACAGAATCAGCCTGTTTAAGAGCTGAAGAGATCATGTAAAACTGAATTATGACTGTTTTTGGTAAATAAAACACCACAGATGTTATGAGTGGTGGTAAAAACTCAAATCCAGGAGAAATGTAGGATATGGGCTCTTTAATCCGTCCTCACTTCAGTGCTTTATTCTTTCCAGCCTCAAAATAATCAACAACAAACCTCTCTATATTTTCCTCTGCTGGTGTGATCTGTCTCCGTTATGACCGTTATCATTAGTGGGTGTGTGTGTGTGTGTGTGTGTGTGTATGACAGGGTGTGTGTGTGTGTGAGTGTGTGTGCGTGTGTGTGTGTGTGTATGACGGGGTGTGTGTGTGTGTGTGTGTGTGTGTGTGTATGACGGGGTGTGTGTGTGTGTGTGTGTGTGTGTGTGTGTGTGTGTGTGTGTGTGTGTGTGTGTGTGTGTGTATGACGGGGTGTGTGTGTGTGTGTGTGTGTGTGTGTGTATGACGGGGTGTGTGGTGATGATATGTGATCAGATAAACAGAGTGGATGGCTAAGCTGTAGTTTAGAACAGACGCTCCTCAAAATAGAGGAGAAACTTTAACCCTTTCATGTGTGAATCGAGCCTCCTGATTTGAGTTTCAGCAAAACTGTGATTAACACTGTGTGTTTTGGAGGACAGTGTGTGCGTGTGTGTGTGTGTGTGTGTGTGTTTGTCTCTGTGTGTGTGTGTGTGTTTGTGTGTGTGTGTGTGTTTGTCTCTGTGTGTGTGTGTGTGTTTGTGTGTGTGTGTGTGTGTGTGTGTGTGTTTGTCTCTGTGTGTGTGTGTGTGTTTGTGTGTTTGTGTCTGTGTGTGTGTTTGTCTCTGTGTGTGTGTTTGTGTGTGTGTGTGTGTGTTTGTCTCTCCCTGTGTGTGTGTGTGTGTGTGTGTGTGTGTGTGTGTGTGTTTGTCTCTCTCTGTGTGTGTGTGTGTGTGTGTGTGTTTGTCTGTGTGTGTGTGTGTGTGTGTGTGTGTGTGTGTGTGTGTGTTTGTCTCTCTGTGTGTGTGTGTGTGTGTGTGTGTGTTTGTCTGTGTGTGTGTGTGTGTGTGTGTGTGTGTGTGTGTGTGCGCGGTGTGAAAGTTCCTCATGAAGGCTGAAACCAGCAGCTGTGCGGTAATAATATCCACAGAGGAGGTAAATGCGGTGTTTGGCTGAAGGTGTGCTCTGCTTTGAAATGGTAAGTGTGGTTTGGGAGAGGTGTGCACTGTGATTCACACGCTGACCACACCGACCTGTTTACCAACAGGAAACGACCGCAGAGCTCTGAGTCACACGCCAAACACAGCTCCTCTGACAGCAGAGAGAAGATGACCTGTTTCTGAAAGTATTTCTGAAGCGTGTTATCTGAAGCGCACAACATAACTCTCTAAAATCATCTTAGAGCCGTAACTGTACAGGAGGAGCTGTACAGCTTAGAGCTGTTCTGTTGGTTCATTCATCATCACATTTTCTCACAGTGAGTGTGTTTACATGTCCTCAATAATCTGATCATAATCAGATTTCTGTAGTTATCTGATTATTCAAATGCTCATGTAAACACCATACTCTGATCTAGAAATCTGATTAAGAAATCTGATAAAGAGGCTGGACTTCAGCTCAGTAATCAGATTTCTCAGTGCATGTAAACTCTTACTCTGATTTCTTTCGGATCTCTCAGACTGAGCATGTGCAAAAACAGACCGTAAATTACACCTCTGGAGCGACACTGAAACCGACTACATGCCTGACGAATGAAGGATTTAAATATTCTTCTTCTTCTAGATGATGTATGTTCATATTTTCAGAAGTTTGAGTTTAACGTTACATTTACGTCTCGTCTTCTTCTGTGGGTTTATTGGCTGGTAGTAAAGCAGAAATCTGTTTATAATTTTCCACTGGGTGTTTTTAAAATCTTGTACATTAAAACCAGTGAAATGTGCTGACATTATTGTCCATGGTCATCAGTCGTACACTACAGATACGTCATGATCACAATGGCCTTTAGGGGTTGAAACTCAAGGCCAAGACCACTAGGGGGCTCCACTAGTGTGACAGTGAATCAAATAATAGTAAAGGCAACTGAACAACATGCTTACATTGAATGACATTTGTCTTTCAGTATCTGTAGTTCTGCAAGGAATTTGAGTCAGACTGTCTCTAATGTCACCTTTGAGACTTTCATACAGCCACAGACTTACAGACCGCTAGCCAGCATTGGCCTGTGGTCACTGTGCTTAGGCTAGCCTGTAGAAACGCTGATGGAGAGAGACTGACGTGTGTGTGATTGTTAAAGTGTTGAATGGTCTTCTGTCCGTATGACTGAGTGTTTGTTTATTTGTTTGTTCAGGACTGTTCCGCCCACTGTTTATGTGTGTATGTTCATTATTTATATACTCACTTCATTCACTGGGAATTCAACTTCACTCAGTTTGGTTTTTCTGAATAATATGTATCTAATTCACTTACAAAGTAATTAATTAACTGAATAAATGAGTGTTAAAATAAAGATTAATAGACTCAGTTTGGTTTTTAATGACTGCACATACACACACACACACACACACACACACACACATACACACACACACACACACACACACACACACATACATACACACACACATATACATATACACACACACACACACACACACACATACATACACACACACATATACATATACACACATGCATAAAACACAGTTGTACTGAAAAAAGAGGGTCAGTCAATAAACAAACTAGCAAACAAATAAATACTTAAATAAATCCATAACTATATTCCTGATTAAGTTATATAGATGGAAAGCCTATGTTTGATTTCTCTGAAGACATAAACAAACAAACAACAAACAACTACACAAATACAAACACTTTTAAACTAGCAAAATAAATAAATCAACCAACTAAATAAATATAAAATAAAAGAAGTTGTACAGATTAACAGTCTCGGATGTTTTCAATGAATGCATACACAAACTCACATAAACACACAAATACACACATACCTGCACACACACACTCACATACACATACACACACACACACACGCACACACGCACATACTCACATACACATACATAGATACATACACATAAGCACATATATACACACACATACTCACATACACAGGCATTTATACAAACTTACACACATACATACATACACACACAAACTTATACACATACAAACATTTACACACAAACATATACACATACTCACATACACACACATACACATACATACATATACACATACACACACATACATACACACGTACTCACACACACACACACATACTCACAAACACATATACACATACATACATATACACATACACACACACATATACACACGTACTCACACACACACACACATACATACACACACACACACACAAACTTATACACATACAAACATTTACACACACACACATACACATACTCACAAACACACATACACATACATACATATACACATACACACACACATATACACACGTACTCACACACACACACACACACACACACACACATACATACACACACACACACACATACACGCATATACACACGGACATACATAGATACATACACATATGCACATACATACACACACATACTCACATACACAGGCATTTATACAAACTTACACACATACACACATACAGAAACTTATACACATACAAGCATTTACACACATACATATACACACATACACATACATATACACATACTCACACATACATATACACACATACATACACAAACTAATACACATACAAACACATACACACATACAAACATACACATATACATACACAACAAACTGTACATCTAAACATACTATACATCTCAAGACTATATATACTTCAACAAACTGTACATCTATTCTTACTTTATAGTTAGTTCAGATGTACAGTTTGTTGAAGTATATAGAGTCTGTTTTAGTTGTGTGTTTAGCTGTACAGTTTGTTGGAGTGTGTATGGTTTGTTTAGACGTATAGTATGATGAAGTATACGCAGTTTGTTAAGATGCACTCTCTGTTGAGTTGTGTGTTTAGCCGTATAGTGTGTTGGAGCGTATATGGTTTGTTTAGATGTACTGTCTGTTGAGTTGTGTGTTTAGTTGTATAGTGTGTTGGAGCGTATATGGTTTGTTTAGATGTACTGTCTGTTGAGTTGTGTGTTTAGCCGTATAGTGTGTTGGAGCGTATATGGTTTGTTTAGATGTACTGTCTGTTGAGTTGTGTGTTTAGCCGTATAGTGTGTTGGAGCGTATATGGTTTGTTTAGATGTACTGTCTGTTGAGTTGTGTGTTTAGCCGTATAGTGTGTTGGAGCGTATATGGTTTGTTTAGATGTACTGTCTGTTGAGTTGTGTGTTTAGCCGTATAGTGTGTTGGAGCGTATATGGTTTGTTTAGATGTATTCTTTGTTTAGGTCTCAGAGCTGGTGGAGTGTAAACTCAGTGTAAAACTCTCCTTATCTGTTAATTGTACAGCAGTAAAGCAGAGGTATCACTTTACACACAGACTCCTGTTATTGATACAGTGGACGCTGCTTATTAACCCAGCGGGTGGGTTTTACTGTAAGTATAGCCCCGTGTGTGCGCGCGTGTGTGTGTGTGTGTGTGTGTGTGTGTGTGTGTGCGTGTGGTGTGTGTGTGTGGTCCTAGCTGGCCTTGTTTATATAAAGCTCTGCAGGTGTGAGCAGGTGTACAGGTGCAGACAACATCACCTCAGCACGAGAGAGAGCGGGAGAGAGAGAGGGTGAGAGAGGGAGAGAGAGAGAGGTAAGCACATCGAGTCTGTCTTGTCCGGCATTAGTTTGGGTTTTTGGGTGTTTAAACTGCTGACCACAGACACAGACACAGTCCGATCTCACTGAGAATTTGTTGCCGTGGTAACTTCACTGAGATGACTTCACTGTATTTGACCTAAAGAGGATGGTAAGCAAAGCGAGAGGACCTGACCACAGATCTGCTCTTCTGTCTCTCTCAGCCTCTGTTTACCAACAGATCCGTCTTCTTTACTCTGTCAGATCGTTAGATATTCTCCTCCTGATGCAGAGCGCGCCTGAGTTTGTGAGAGCCGCTACATACAGTCGCATGTTTGACTTTCTAAGAGAAAATAAGGTAACATCTCCTCTACGGAGAACGCACCGAAATACGGCATCTTTCTGTTTTTTTAGTGCACAATTTCTGTTTATTTGCTGAATCAAACATTTTGGGGGAATAAACTGTAGAAAATGTGCCATAACTTTTGCACAGGCCACATTCTATGTTTTAATTTTCCCCGGTGTGTTAAATTCAGTAAATAACCAGCACTTGTGTAGTAGAATGTGCAGTAGTGTGTCTCTGTAGAGGATGTGTTCACTTATTCACACTCAGAGAATCAACCACAACATGGACTTTAACCAGGGGTGCACAAACTTTTGCACAGAACAATATTATTGTTGTTATTATTATTATTATTATTATTATTATTACCTTTCTCTGAACTGGTTCATGTAGCCATGAACCAAAGTGAAATTTAACAAATTACACAGATGATTCTACTGAACTGGTTCAGAGTCAGAGCCGAAACACATTTGGGACTTTTAACTTATCTTAGATTTTAGACTAAAATCATTTTACTTCGAGTGAATTATGATTATTTTATTAAAACTAATGACTGAACATTACAAAACAGTCATTACCTGTATAACTCCACCCAAACTTTACCAAATGTTTCTGAGGTGACAGTTTTAGCTCATTTTGAGCAGAACTCAAAAACACATGACCAGCAAACACAGCTTTGAACAGCTGTACACACAGAAAATCACCGTGTTCTTCAATAAGACACAAAAAAAATGTGTTTCGGTAGTGACGATTCTTAATGTTCCACACTGAGTTTCAGACATTTGGACACGTTTACTTCAATGGGATCTAAGTGCTCACCATGTGGCCATGAGGGACAGGGATGCAGCCTCACTTCCTGCTCTAAAATGCAGGGGTGTGGCTAAAATAAGGCTCCGCTTACAGACTAAAACTCTTTGTGTTTCGGTAGTGACAAAAACACGGGACAGCATCTTTTGAATTAAGTTTTTTTTTTTATTTAAAATTAAGCTCATGGTAAATTGAAATCTATGACATCACTCAAATCGATCAGTTAATAAATTAATTATGCATTATTTTCAGAACTGCACATTTAGGGGTCAGGGTTTGGGACCGACACCTCCACACTCCACTCCACACACGCGATAGAGAGTGCCCCATAAATGACGACTTTCTATAGATTTAGTTTATTGGTGTCTCTATTGATCTGATGAATTCAGTACAGTGCTCCATATATGGGTGACAGAATAATGTGCCCAAAGACTGTGTTCTGTGTTTGTTTGTTTGTTTGTTTGTTTGTCTGTCAGGTATAATAATGTTCATTGATTAGCCCAAAGCTAAACGTGCTGGTTCTATCAGGAGTGTTGCTGTAGTTTCAGGGAGGCGTTTTAGCTGGACTGATATTTTGGGGTTCCTGTTTGTTTACAGAGTAAATCTGCCATCATGATGAAGGCCGTGCTGATGTGTCTGTTGGGCTCCATCACCGCTATACCTGTAAGTATGAGAGAGAGAGAGGGAGAGAGAGAGAGAGAGAGAGCAGAGTGAGAGAGAGACAGTGAGAGAGACACAGTGAGAGAGAGAGCTTGCGAGTGAAAAGCTGCCGTAGTTTAACTCTGTGTCTGTGTTTTCTTTCCTCTGCTGTCCATCACTCTTTCCTCTCCCAGGTTCCTGTAGTGGAGGAGATGCAGTCAGTAAGATCAGCTTCATTCCTTACTCTTCATTCTTCACTCTCAGTTTTTTTCTCATTCAGTTCAAGTTACTGCATTTAAATTTCAATGCATTTAAAAATGCTGTAACACTAATGACTAACTCTGAAACTACAGCCACACTAATGACTGATTAATGGAATAAAAATGACAGTAATGCTAATGAAAATACAACGGTATAAAACTACAGCAACACTCACTAGGAGCTAACGCTAAAACTACAGCACCACTAACGACAACCTAACGCTAAAACTACAGTTACACTAATGACGAACTCTATATCTACAGTTACACTAATGACAAACTAACTCAAAAAGCACAGTAACACTAATGACAAACTAACGCTAACACTACAGTTACACTAATGACAAATACTAAATCTACAGTTACACTAATGACAAACACTAAATCTACAGTTACACTAATGACAACCTAACACTAAAACTACAGCAACACTAATGACAAACTAATTTAATCTACAGTTACACTAATGACTAACTCAAAAAGCACAGTAACACTGACAAACTAACGCTAACACTACAGTTACACTAATGACAAACACTAAATCTACAGTTACACTAATGACAACCTAATGGTAAAACTACAGCAACACTAATAAAAAAAACTCTAAAACCACAGTAATGCTACTAACTAAAATTAGTTACATTAATGGCAAACTAACTCTAAAACTACAGTTACAATAATGAGTAACTAAAATTAGTTACACCAATGACAAACTAACTCTAAAAACTACAGTTACACTCATGACAAACTAACTGTAAAACTAGTTACACTAATGACAGACTAACTCTTATTCTACAGTTATGCTAATGACAAACCAACTCTAAAACTATAGTTACACTAATGAGTAACTAAAATTAGTTACACTAATGACAAACTAATTCTAAAACTGCAGTTACACTAATGACACTCCGTCTTGGCCCCGACTGGTTGCTGTAACCGTGTCTCTCTCTGCTCTCTAAGGGAAGTGGGGATTACTCCAACACTGACAAGAGTAATCCAGCAACAGCTCCTGAGGTACGAAGTTCAGCCTGGTTCAAACAGAATATAAAAGATCAGCAAACTGAAGGAACGTTTGAGCCTGTTATTTTAGCACATCATCAAAAGTGGCTGAAGAGGAGATCAGAAGACATCTTGTTTTGTGTTCTCTACTTTCTGAAAGTTTTAAAAGCTTTCAGTGATGTAATTACATATAAACACATAACATAAAGTTCTATAATTTAACAGGTTTTTAAGATCCAGAATGATGAACAGAACTGAAGATGATTCTAAAGCTGTGTAGTTTTGAGAATAATGTAGATTAACCTGACGGCTGTTCCATAATAAAATAAAGCCTCTACAGATGTTTTTGGTGTCTAGTTTATCATATTTGAATCTATATTGTGTAAATTATTAATAATTGATTCCTAACTGTCTGTTTTTCAGGCCTCTTTCCTCCAGACGTTCTGGCGCTCGGCCAGAAATGTGGAAGGAGAAAACTCAACTTTTAGTCCATCGTTATCTGAGCAGCTTCTGGAGAACACGACCCAAAAAAGTCCAGAAGTGGACGTGATCCCAACCGTTCCCACGGCTGGGAAGATGGCAGCTGATGGACCGACGGAAGTAGGACAGTTCAGTCCAAGTCCGAGTCCATCAGTGAGCTCCACGGTGAAAGCCTCGACTCAGCCGAAGCGCTCAGACAACAGCGACACCCAGACGGCTCCTGTCGGCTCTGGAGGCCAGCGTGCTGGTCTGGCCCTCAATCCTGGAACCACCAGCAGGAGGTCAAACCTGCAGAGGGTGGCTTTAATGCGCCCACGCATCCGGGTGCGCAACGCCGAGGAAGACGACGACGAGAACGTCAAAAAGGGGAAAAAACCAGCAAAGGGGAAGAAAAAAGGAAAGGGAGGAAACAAGAAGGAGACGGTGGTGAAAAGAGAGAAGAAAGACAAGCCCAAAGCAGAGAAGAAAAAGAAGTTCTTTGATTTCAGCTTTGAGTTTGATGACTTCGGCCTGCTAGGCGACGACCCCGGTCAGCAGGGCGAACCTCGGTCCAAACCAGAAACCGCGCAGGCACCAGCCAACGGCGGCAGCAGCTCCAGTGATTCCTGCTCTTCGAGCAGCTCTTCGAGCAGCTCTTCAAGCAGTTCGTCCAGTGACTCCTGCGACTCCAGCGACTCAAGTGATTCAAGTGACTCTTGTGACTCAAGCGACTCAAGCGACTCCAGTGACTCCAGTGATTCATGTGACTCGAGCGATTCCAGCGATTCCAGCGATTCCAGCGACTCAAGTGACTCTTGCAGTTCGAGCAGCAGTTCTAGTGACTCTAGTGATTCAAGTGACTCTTGCAGTTCAAGTGACTCGAGCGATTAAAGCAAATGAAAGTCTAGAACAGCAAGTCAAGCATTAGAGTCATTTAATCAAACAACTCTGCTGTTGAGTCAAACTCCTGATTCACTGACCCAGTAACCACAAGTACTACTGTAATAACCAGTTCTCACCATGTAATATCAAATAGTGATAGCTAGGATCATAAACGATTGTATGTTTTTTAGATACTTTTGTGCATGTTTTTCACTGTTTTTATGTAATCTGTATAAATAAATATGACTTAATATGTAATACAGACTCCACGATTCATTCATTCATATATATATATATATATATATATATATATATATATGCACACATACAGTACTGTGGGAAAGTCAGAGACAATCCTTTAATTTATTTCATTTCTGGTCAAAACATACATTAAGTACAAAGTACTAATTTTGCAGAGTAAAAAAAAAAACACAAAAGCAGCACATTTCCATATGCCTGCCTATTCAACCTATCACGGTTTAGCCCCGCCCACTCACTCTGAAGTTATTAGGAGTGTTTCAGCCTGGACTGCTTAGACAATGAAGGACAGTACAGAGCAGCCAATCAGATCAGAGCTGATTTACATACATCAGTCTCAAAAGCACAGCCTGTTCAATACGAGGGGATAAAGAGACATCGGAAAGTGATCATATAGAAATGAATTATGACTAGTTTTAGTATATGAAACAAATATTACGTCTTTTTTTTCAAAAATTAATAATTAAAAATGATTAACAAACTTTTCCACACCTCCAAAGTTCAGTATCAGGAGTTGGTTTAGCATTTTCTGCTTCTCACATCCAAGTAATCCCAGTTTAGACTCATCATAAAAGCATAAGACCATAAAGCCTCACTCCACCTCAGTAACGTCTCCTTTACCCGGTGTAGATGGTCATGAGGGACAGCTGTGAGAGGCGGCTGAGTTTGGATGCTGTCAGTGTGAATGTCACCGTCTGCTCACACCAGCAGGGGGCAATGCAACAGGTGTCCAGTAACGTCCTACGGGGAGCGTGAGGTTTGTAGCTGTGATTTGGCGACGAGCAACAAGTTGTGCATAAATTTTCTCTTTATGCAAATGAACTGTGATGCAGTGAAGCGACAATCTAACTGATTGGCTCAAACATAATCCTCGGACCAATCATAGACACGGGGGGTCTAAGGTCCCCAGCCTCTGCTCTCTGAAGTTTCTGTTCCTACTGGCAGTTCCTGTTCCCCATAGTATCACTCAAAATATGGAAGATAAACCCATAAACGTGTAAACTTATAACTGCGTTTCCAACAAAACAACAGTATATATATATATGCAATATGGGGTCATATAGGGTCACATTCTGTTACCTTTTCGAGTCAGAGGAGCTGGACAGTGTACACGTCCAAGCACAACAACGAGTGTGGCCTCGAGCCAAATCACACGAGACTCCAGGCGACTTCAGTGACTTATTGCCTCCTAGTGTAAAAGTACAGTTAGGCCCAGTCCCAGTGCTTCTTTTTACCCTTGTTTTCGAGTGTTGCTCCTTGGAACTGAGTTACAGGGTAGTGGTTGAACTCTTCCCTCTGAAATGAGACCCTCAAATAAAAAGAGCATCACTTCATTAACAGCTACCAGCGCTGCTCTGTAGGCGACACTGCCAGTCTGCAGTGACAGCAGAGGAGGGTAAAGTTCAGCTCCTCACTGCTGGGCTTTAGTTACATTTAGGGCATCATATGATCTTCAAATAGGGGGCAATTATTTATTATCACCACCCCTAATTCTCCAGTGATATGAAGCTGAAGTCAGATATTCTCCAGATTCTTGTTCGAATTTTCCAGTTCCACCTTAAATGGAGCAGCAGTTACATTCTGGCGCTTCAGGTGTCAGAACTGCTGGACTATTTAAGGTGGAACGGGAAAGTTAGCTAGCTAGCTACCGAGACATTAGCATGCTATTAGCGATTTTTTATGCTTGTTATGAAGAAAAGGACAAAATACACTGAAACGACATTAAACTAAGATAAAACAGTGGTTACTGTCATTTTTAACTGAGAGAAATTCTCACATTTGTGGGTTTCTTTGGTCTCTTGTTCTCCATCTTGCCGGTTTTTCTTTTTTCTCATATCACTCTGCTTGAAGAGTCTCTGAAAAACCTCCGTATGGAGGGTCATGTAGCCCCAACACTTCACCCTACCCCTCTATCTCAACAAGAATCGGGACATCCGACCCCTAGACAAGAACACCCAAAACAGAGAGCTAAGGGCTCAGTGGTAGTGGCGAGGGGTGAAATGGGACCGGGCCTTAGTGTCTCTTTGCAGGGAGTCAGAGCGTCAGCGTGGCTGGTTTTAAGACTGGATGGACAGAGGAGTTACAGTGACAGTAGGAGAGGACAAACTAAACATCGAGAGATTAATAAGCTCAGTGTCTGTATCATTTTCTGTTTTCTGCTTTTTTCTGACACTGACTCGTATTTAATGGTCAGCTTTGACTGAACACTAAATAAACAAAGCTGTGGCCTCTGATTTTCCACAGTGCTGTCCATCAGCTCAGACTCAGCCAGCCTGCTCACCTCCATCTGCTGTTAGAATGGAAGTCAACAGGCGGTTTTTCATCGACTTCTATTATAAATGAGTTTTGAGTCAAACTCAAAGACGCTGCAGACGGAGGGCTGCTTTAACGAGCTGAGCTCAGCGCCCACAGCGGAGTGATTTAGTCACGGCAGCTCTGAAGGCTTGATTTCTTTAACAGCAGCTCAGTTAGAGGGAGGTAATTAAGCCCAGGCGCTGCTCTGCACAAACACAGCTGCTTTATGGTGTTTAAAATGTGACCGCAGTCTGGGTCCTGGTCACTCTCTAGGAGGGACGCTCACTGTCCATAAAGAGATCACAGCAGATAATCCGTACAGTTACAGTAACGTCTGTGAACACATTAAATATGAGCTTTACTGATTCTCACACTTAGAAAACTGGAAAAATGGCATCTTAGCAAATCACTCAGAGCGTAAAACTGAGTACGGCTCCCAGAGAACCAAAGAGCCGAATACTAAACAAAAACCGACGTACAAAAACGTCTGGAAACGGTAAAAATGAGAAACAGGCTCTGCGGCTGTGTCCACTCAGCTTTTACACAGAGACGCCCTAAAGAAGCTTCTTATTCACTTACAGGGAACGCTGGAGCAGCCAGCTGGCCGAACGGACGTAGAGGCGGATGGACAGACAGACAACTGAATGGTGGTTAGCTTTCTCCTGGTGGTTAGCTCTCAATTAGTGGTTAGCTCTTACTTGGTGGTTAGCTCTTGCTTAGTGGTTTGCTCTTGCTTAGTGGTTAGCTTTTGCTTGGTGGTTAGCTTTTGCTTGGTGGTTAGCTCTTGCTTAGTGGTTAGCTCTTGCTTGGTGGTTAGCTCTTGCTTAGTGGTTACCTCTTGCTTAGTGGTTAGCTTTTGCTTGGTGGTTAGCTTTTGCTTGGTGGTTAGCTCTTGCTTAGTGGTTAGCTTTTGCTTGGTGGTTAGCTCTTGCTTGGTGGCTAGCTTTTGCTTGGTGGTTAGCTTTTGCTTAGTGGTTAGCTTTTGCTTGGTGGTTAGCTTTTGCTTGGTGGTTAGCTCTTGCTTGGTGGTTAGCTCTTGTTTGGTGGCTAGCTTTTACTTGGTCTTTAGCTTTTGCTTAGTGGTTAGCTGTTGCTTGGTGGTTAGCCTTTGCTTGGTGGTTAACTTTTGCTTAGTGGTTAGCTCTTGCTTGGTGGTTAGCTCTTGCTTGGTGGTTAGCTCTTACTTGGTGGTTAGCTCTTGTTTGGTGGTTAGCTTTTGCTTAGTGGTTAGCTTTTGCTTGGTGGTGAGCTCTTACTTGGTGGTTAGCTCTTGCTTGGTGGTTAGCTTTTGCTTAGTGGTTAGCTTTTGCTTGGTGGTTAGCTCTTACTTGGTGGTTAGCTCTTGCTTACTGGTTAGATCTTGCTTGGTGGTTAGCTTTTGCTTGGTGGTTAGCTCTTGCTTACTGGTTAGCTTTTGCTTGGTGGTTAGCTTTTGCTTGGTGGTTAGCTCTTGCTTAGTTGTTAGCTCTTGCTTGGTGGTTAGCTTTTGCTTGGTGGTTAGATTTTGCTTCGTGGTTACCTTTTGCTTGGTGGTTAGCTTTTGCTAGGTGGTTAGTTTTCTCACAGTAAGTTTCTCTGACAGAGCGACTGTAGAGGAACACAGTTTTCTGAAGGCTGTGTTGACGGAACAAACCACATCCATTTTGCCATGTGATTCGGGGGGATGCTGCTCACACAAGCTTTGTCCAAGATTAGGACAACAATTAACATCAAAAGAGCAGAATTTTGACAAAATAAGTTGCCCCAGAGGAAAGAAATACTCTAACTGACATCTCCTCTTGATCTCAGGTTCTTCTCCTAGACACAGTTAAGTCCAGTTTTGAAATCAGAGTCTTAAAACCATTTTCTCCTCTCTTTCTTCTGAAATTCAGCTCCTGAGAAATAAAACTCAGATTTTTTCACTTTGATGAAAATGTTGTCCCACATGTGGATTAACTCTTTAGTGTCTGACTCGTCTCAGCTGAGTTTAAGATCTCATTGTTTTCTCATACAGCTCTGTTCTAGATCACAGAACCCTCTCAGCACTTCATCAGTGTAGAAGGAGAACTCATGCATTTCTCCTTTATCACCAGGACATCTCACAGTGAGATGCTGATGTTGATCTCCCCTTTTCCCCTGAGGAGGTTCAGGAGAAACAACTCAGAAATCAGTGATCATTAATTTACTATTGAGATCTGCTTTATTTGTCTCAGACAGTCTTAAGAGGGATTTTCCTTCCTCTGGGGTCTGTCTATCAGTATCACACACATTCTTTATACATGCATACTGAGGACCACCAAAGCAAGATTAACCTACAAACACAGACTTCAGCCCCCTGGAGCTTTAAAATCAGATGTCTAGAAATAGGTTAATTAATCACTGATATCTCTTCATTTCCAAACACTGTAACTCCATCATTTTTAGACCATTCAAACTCCAGCTGCCCTTTACACTGTGTGGACATTTCACAATGACCAATAGAAATGCTCTGAAATCACTTGGTTTTTACACATTATCAATACAATTCTCAATCAGCAATAAATACAGAGATATAACATTAGTCATATAAACTTTATAAAGTAAATAATCATATTAATAGTTCATCTCACATTGTTATGTCTTTACATTGTCAGGTGAAAATATTGAAGAGAAATGAATATGGACTGAATTACATCATCTACAGAAAGAAGTCCCTTTATTCTTATTGCGTTTGGTATTAATGAACTTCGTCCCCGAGGGAGTCAAAGCTAAAGAGTGGTGTCCTCTGTTTACGCTAGACGGATTTATTCAACAGCAATAAAAGGACACATAAAACTCCACACATTCAGACCTTAAACATAAAAACTGACGAGGATAAAACAATAATAAGGCTGCTGGGCTGGTTTCACTGTGGTCCTCTTACTGAACTGTATTATATTACTGTAGTGTGTTTTTTTATGAATCATCTGCTGCTGCATTTTCCTTCATTAAATGGTCAGCCTTTATCTCCACCGCAATGACCTGTGGTCACTGTTCTCTATTTCAGCCTGAAATATCTGTTTTAAACAAAGCCCAATATAATAAAGTGCAGAAAGAGGATACTGTCATTTACCTTCACACAGCCGGGTCAGATTTCAGAGAACAGTGGAGCTTATTTAGAAAAACACCTTTAAAAGAGCTTATTTTGGAACATGATGCCGTTCAGTACACAGTAACGTCCTTTTAAATTCTTCACTGGTTAATTTGAATCAGTATAAACAGTTATAGACACTGAGATGAATAGTATTAAAGGGGAACCAATTTCTCAAAACTGTACATTTGGTTCTCTGTAATTAAGTGGTTAAGATGTAAACAGAGAGGTTCAGAGCAGTTCAGAGTGGTTCAGAATGGTTCAGAGAGGTTCAGAGCAGTTCAGAGTGGTTCAGAATGGTTCAGAGAGGTTCAGAGCAGTTCAGAGTGGTTCAGAATGGTTCAGAGAGGTTCAGAGTGGTTCAGAGTGGTTCAGAGAGGTTCAGAGAGGTTCAGAGCAGTTCAGAGTGGTTCAGAATGGTTCAGAGAGGTTCAGAGTGGTTCAGAGTGGTTTGGTGTGAAACTCTCTTAACCGTACCGAGTCAGAACTGTTCACAGTGGTGGTGATAGGAACCAGACGTCCACCTCTAAAAGCTCCCTCACAGAAAGTTCCTACATGAAATGGTTATGAATTCACTGCCTGATGACTGAGACACTGTTTTATGATAGTTTAGAGAACTTAAACTCCATTCATGGTGGAGGGCAGTAGAGAGTGGTCTCGGCCGTTCAGTCATAGGGACAGAAATAGAGCTTTATAGGGGCTCAGATTGTTATTAAAAACGCAGCGTCTGGCCCGGACGCCCCCACAGTGACGCGACTCCACTCGGACCCTCCTGATTGGACAAGCGGCCTCTGAACGATGAGCTTAAATGCAGTGGCGCTGCAGCTGAAGGTGAATAAAGCAGAGTTCTGGTTCTGGTTGGAGAGTAAGTGGATCTACAGGGTAGAGGTCAGTACTGGACCGTGTCTGAGGTCTGTTATTACAGGTAAGAGACACTTTATAACACAGGTCAGCTTTACAGTCACTACTGTTCAAAGGTCTGAAATTACTTTGCATAATAAGCCATACAGTAGAAAAAAATACAACAAATGATTGTCTAATAATACATAATATTCTATAATTTGTTTATTATTTTTTCAAGGTTTCTGGCTTCAGATTTGATCACCACTTTTAAAATACGAAGCATTTTGAACATTCACTTTTGCATTAATATTAACAGTAATGATGAACTTAATTCTGGATGTTAATTCCTTTATATCTTCATTCAGGACAATAATTCTATTATTTAACTTGAAGTTGCACAGGAGTGTCATCATATTAGCCTGATATTATAAAAACTACTGATTACACACTTTTGAATATTCTTGATATTAATTTATTGTCTTCATTCTGGATGGTAATTTTATTTGAACTTAATTCTGAATAAATAAAAAAATAAATAAATTCTAAGTATTAATAAAACATCTGTTTCCTCTTTATTACAGCTTTCTATGAACTACTGAAACATATGAAGCTGCACATTTATCTGCATCACACTTGATCATATTGAAAATATTGATTATAAACCTTTGAACGATGAAGTATGTTAGATAATACTTTCCAAAAGCTGTGAATGAAATGATCTGTTTATTATGTGTGTTTTTGTATCAGATTGAAAATGCGGACTGTGCTGCTGTTAGCCTGCCTGCTGGCCCTCAGTGTCACTCTGCCGGTCAGTCTCCAGCTAAAAATCAGCCTGAAAGCTCTTTATTGTTATTATTATATTATTAAATTAAGGTATAATGATTGAGTAACCATTATGAATTATTCAGTATCAGTAAATATTTCCGTATCTGCTATGAATTATAAAATATCTGCCATGAATGATTCAGTGTTTGCTATGAACGATTCGGTATCTATTATGGATTATACAGTATATATTATAAATGATTCAGTATATATATATCATGAATGAGTCAGTATCTTTTATGAATGATTCAGCATCTGCTTTGAATTGTTCAGTATCTAGTACAGATTATTCAGTATCTAGTGTGGATTATACAGTATATATTATAAATGATTCAGTATCTAGTATGAATGATTCAGCTTCTATTATGAATGACTCGATATCTGCTATGAATTATTCAGTACATAGTACGAATGATTTAGTATCTAGTATGGATTATACAGCATATATTATGAATTATTCAGTATTTACTATGAATTATTGAGTATCTAATATGAATGATCCAGTATCCACTATGAATTATTTACTATCTACTATGAATGATTCAGTATCTACTATGAATTTTTCAGTATCTACTGTGAATGATTGAGTATCTATCGTGAATGATTCAGTATCT